TATCATAAGATTAAAACTTTTTAATAATATTGTTCAATGGCCTTCTGAAATTTTAAGAAAATATGAAAAATAAAAAAAAAAAGTAAAAGTTTAGGTTTTACAAGAAAGGACATGGTTTTGGGAGGAAATACAGACATTTAACTCATGACTAAAGAAATTCAATTTATCTATATTTGAGTGAAATTACTTTTTCATCTTGGTAGTTAATATACATTACTCACTAGTGATCTGACAAATTTACAGATTTTATTGCAGTTATAAGACTCATAGTGTCTTTTACAAGTAGCAACATACAATTTATTTTGCAAGTGAAATCTATATCCCTGACAACTTTGCAATCTTTCCTATTTTTGCCCCCATGCAAAACATACGGAGGTAATCTTTCCTATTTTTGCCTCCATGGAAAATGTATGAGGAATCTTTCCTATTTTTGCTACAAGTGCACTTCCTATAGTCAAACTCAACTAAAAGTGTGGGGGTGAAAATGGTATCTAGATGCCCGACTTATCAGTTCCCTACTCCTTCCGGCCAAAAAGGTGGGCTATGGCAATGATGCAAAGTTATCCTAGTTACAGACAAACCCAGATAGTCTCATGGAAAAACAAGCATGTTGACCAAGCAATATCTTCTCCAGAATGATTTGGAGCCATGCTATTTTTACATGGTCTGTGTTAATTTCCATTCAAACTTGACCAGTCCATTTCAAACTGAAGCACAATCGAATCCAAAGCAACTTATTGTCTACTTCATATAACTATTGATTGAATAATAGCATAAACTAAAATTACACTTATTATTTAATGTTTCCACTTACATCTAGATACCCTGTGTTCATAAAATAGGAAAGAGAACTTATATCTATTACCATATACAACATCTCATGAATCAACCTTCTGTAGACTTCTTGAGGAATCATGCTTATGTGCAACCCATTTAAAGACAAAAGGTTAAAGATCAAGACTGGATATGACCAGTTTTAGTTGATAAATAGCCTGAAAAGTTTTCTAAAATTGGTTACAGATCACAGTAAATGGAAGAATCCAGAGCTACGATATCCCTCAAGCGCACCCAAATTTATCCACCCTTCAAATGTGTGTGCCTGGCAGTATATTCCTAGGCCTCTTTTTATATGAAGATTTAATACCTCTCTAAAAGTCAATTATCTAAGTGTAACATTAAATGCTTCCACATGAGTTGCAGAATCACTTTATAAAGGATCATAATTAAAGAAGTTCCCCTGCTGTAATATGTTTTAAAACATTAAGAGGAATAAGACACATTAGAACACAGTAAACCTCAATGCTGTAGCACTAAAAGAAAGCATGTGGGTTTAGAAGAAGTGAACTATCATTCGCATTTTTAAGATAAAGGTCATATATCACAATATGGATATGACAAATAGGATACAGCAAAATGGTAATTTTTAAAAATGATGATATGGTAATAAAAAACATAGATGTAATATTTTTCCCAATACCTGTTTCCTTTTCTCTCTGCCTTCTTTTATTCTCAATTACAATATGACAGAAAAAAACCAAATTCCAGACTTGGCCTCACCAAATACATTAAGAGAGAGACAGAGTCGCTCCATATTCCCTAGCACCATTGGTGGATTAATGTCATACCTTTCAAACCATGATGACTCACATGTTTCATAGACAAAAGAAAGTCCCATTTGTTAAAGAGTAAGATTATATTTTTCAATCGTATCACCTAATTTAAATATGTCTATACTTCAATTCTTATTTCCTTATGAATTCAGTAATTACTTATTAAAAGAAACCGAAAACATGAACCCTAAGCATACAATAAAGGGCACACTTCTTCCAAGTGTTATCAGGAGTCTTGTTTGGAAAACATTAAAATCAGATAAAGAATGTATTTGTACATATAGGACAAAAAGGTGAATTCATCAATTGTGCCCAAAATAGAAGCAATTATTTGACAGTATAAATGGCAACTCTAAATATGGTACAATGCACATTTCATTGTCATGTTCATTCAAATTTCCAACTTTGGAGACTTCAAAACCTATTCTTCTTTGTCTTCGTGGAAGATAGAGAGAGCAAAAAAAAAGTAACAGAACAAACTAAATCCTGAAGACTAGAACATACAATTCTGTTATTGACAGTGCCTTGGCAATTAGTATGTAACAACGCATTGCTAGAATTTAATCTTATTCATTTTCCTAGACAAGAAACAGATCCAAACCACTTGTTAATAAAAGCAGATCATTCATAAACTTTTACCTGTTGAGGCCTATTATATGCAAAGGCTGTTAGCTAGGACAATGTATTAGAAAACAAGGTTGAACCTCCAAACAGAAAAATGAATGCATAATTATTCACATTAATAAAATCAGATTGCATGTCTCCTCTGACTTGTTAATGCTTGCTACATGAAAAACAAAGTAACTAACAATAGCAAATGGTGATTTAAGGGTTTAGAGAAGAAAGTAAAAAAATCAATTAAGGATTCCAGAATATGCATGTATACCACTTCATAGCCACCCCATTTAATAACAGCTCTCCACAACCTATATCCAATGCACACACACACACACACAAAAAAAGCACAAATTAGCCTGTGAAAGAAAGCAGATTCATGAAAATACAAATCAATGATCACTAAAAACTCACTTGAGGCAGTTTAGTGGTTCTCCATAAAATTTAGGGGGCTTGAATTCCAACGACCTGTCCTTATAGATACTTTCCAGCTCCTTCATGAATGCTGTTCGCTCCTCCTGTGTTCCGGTTTCATCTGCGTTCCCCATCTATATCCCAAACAACAAAAGTTTGAGTTAAAAAAATGGATAAACGGAATGATTGGCACTTTTATGTTTATGTCACGATTTATGGGACATTCTTTTATGCACCTCAGGATCCAGCAACCAACTCTTTGATTTATCCACAGTTTTGGGTCCAGATTTTGTTGTAATAGAAGGAAGGGGAGCAGCATCTCCATTGCTTTTCTTCTCTAGTGGTTCAGCAGGAGCAGCATTGCAAGAACTAGTATTTGCATCATTGGAAGATTTGTTATCAGGTTTATAGGGCAAAGCTGGAGTATCACTCATATTAACATCAGTGGGCAAGGTTAGAGTCTTATCAGCAATTGCTTCATTAGTATTTTAATCCTGAGTGGGGTGCGGGGACAGTTGCCGTTGGACGCCAGCATCAACAAGGTTAACTTGAGAAGCCTCTTGTAATTGATGTTCCAACATTTCGGTATCTTCCATCTTGCCTATACGGATTCTGCAGTCAAAGAAAAAGGTGGTATTAATGAATATTTTTAACAGGACTCCTTAAGGAATGCAAGCAAGAAGAGTAACGGTTGGTGATGAGCGAAAAGCTCAGTTGTCAGATGATCCAGCAGGTTTTATTCTTGAGAATAGCTACTCGCATATATGCCTGCCATGGTGAGAAACCAAACCCTAAGTCCCATATGGTTCCAAAGAGAAAGAGGGAAAGAAAAAGAAGACATCAAAATCGAAAATAGGAAAGTAAAAAGGTTTGAAAAAAGCGTTAAAAAGAAAGCATTAAATTAAAAGAGTTGGTTGAGGAAGAAACTTGCCCGTTGCAGGGTGAGGGTGGAGGAGCGTTAGGGCTTTGAGTAAGAAAGAGAAAAAGAGAATGCGGGGAAAGAAATGAATAGCAATAAATAGAGCGCAGCCTCTTCTTATCCGACTAACATAGAAAGTATCGTTCATGGCCGGGCAGGCAGTTACAACACTTGCACCTCACTTCGCCTGCCTGCCTGCCTGGGTTGGGATTGGGATTTTTTCTGTTTCTGCCTCTTCCTCTTCCTGCCAACTTAAGCCTCCAAATCCAATTCTCTTTCATTTTTTCACGCCGTGGCTGGTTTTTCATATATAAAAATAAGGGGAAAAAAACCACAACCAAAGAGAGTAAAACCCCCGAGCCATCGGTCAGTTGCTCTTTTACCCAAAGTTGAGTTCAAGCTGCAAAGTGCAGACTTACACTGCTTTTCCCCAACATCCCCGCCCAGGCCACCTTCTTTCTTTCTACAATAACACTGCCCACTACTATTCGCTTCTCCAAGCCCATTTCACGCTAATTGAGTGCTTCCTTCATTCCTACTAGGCTACTACTTTGGTGATGCATACAAATTACAATTCAAGACTATTTCTTGTTCCAAATGATTTGGTATTTGTTAAATTTAGCAAAGTGGGAAATGTGTTACTGATGAAATTTGATGGATGGATATTGGTTTTGAGTTGAGGCTAGTAGATTACTTTTAGGGATGGAATGCAACCCAACACTCACTACTTATTACTTAGCGAAATAAGCAATATTAGTATGGATGCAGACTGCCATGTTTTTTACATTTATTAATTTCTTCCCTCTCCTCTCCTCGTCATAATTATGATATGACTTGCAAGCAAGTTTCGCTTTTACCAGGGCTCTGCTACGTCTACTTTGCTTTGCCGATGACTTGCATGCATGGTCTTTCAGTCTCTCTCTTATGGAATAGAACACCAACATGGGGCTCTCCAGACAACATGCATGCGCAAGACAAGATGGAGACCTCGCGGAGAGTCTTCTTTACAGCTACGATCTTCCCAGTCGCTTTCTCCCTGCATTGCCCATGGTTTGCCTTTGCTTCTCCATTTCTTTGTTTCTCTTTCCTACTTTCTTCTATCATATCACAAGACTCACTCCAACGGCAACTTCTTTCAGCCCAGCCCAACTTCCTCAGCAGGCCTGGGCTTTTGCTTCGTCGCTAGTAAATTAATTAATCTTCTATATTACCTTTTCATTTTTTTTTTTTCATTTTTTCTACTAAGTAAATAAAATGTCGCAAAAAATATGATGACAGAAACGTTTTCTATTGTAGCATAACATGTATGTACATCATCAATACATTAGATTATATCATTATTAGTCGGTCATTTGTGAAATTGAAGCATAATTTTATGACTAGTGTCTTTTCATTGCAATTGGGTTGCTTAGGATATTTGTTAATGGTTTGAGACTAGTATATATATACAAAAAGCAAAAGAACAAACAAATATCATCAGCTGGGCTTCAAGTGATCTCTGGATTATGGGCCCACAAAGGCAGTGCCTGCACTACATAATAATACCATAATTACAAATACTCTCGATCTATGCAAATGCAACATAAATTACTTTTAAGAAGAAAGAAATACAATAGGCAATAGCTGCTATCTCGCCCCTCCAACTTTTTGGTTTTCACTAAAGCTAGCTAGCTAGTCAGTTAGTTACATGAACCCAGTGCAACTCTTTATTTTTTTTAGCCTTTTAGAATGAGCCTCACATTCTGAACCTTCACTGACATCTTTAGCTTCTGTTCCTCCATATCTTTCAAAACATCTACCAGTTTTGCACGATACCCTTCACACCTTCTACTTGCATCTTCCAACTCTACACTTAATTCCTGAATTTTCTTCTCCTCATCCTGCAACCAAGCCAAAAGGAACACCAATTTGACTCCCTATATTGCTTTACTTTCCAAAATTTCCCACAATAACTCATGGTTTTAAAAGCATTTCACTATATCTTAAACTCACCTATAATGCCTTATTTCAATGCACACAAAAAAAAAAAAAAAACTGCAGGATGGATGCAAAGTCCGAACAGTAAAGATCAATGCTATGATACAGAAGCCAATTAAAGAGAATATATCATGAATAAGGAACTGACCTCAAAGCCAGAATGAAGCAGCTGGCCCGTACTTAAAGGAATATTTTTTGTGACTTCAGAATCATGCTCTTTTGCAGAGGCAACCTTCTTTGAAGCCTCATGAAGAGCATCCTTAGCAACGAGAAAAGTATGTATTGATTCTGTCCCCTCTCCCACAAATTTAATGGCTTCATGGCACAGGTTGTCATAACGTGCAGCATAGGACACCTGACTATTACTTTGCATTTCTACAGCGCAACCATCCACTGCAACCCCACTTTTTGCATTTCTTGTCCACCGTTTTAAGATATAATGAGATGGCAATGTCAGAACATTTGTTACCCTAAAAACTGATAATACATGCTTACAAATAATGCCTGAAAATTCAAACATTTGGCAGCTACAGCTAGCTTTCTTTCTGAAAATGCTGAACTTCACAAAATGTGCTTTATGGTCTTCTCCAAATTTCGCCACCCTATACATTACTTCTAATCCTGTGTCATCAATTGCAGTTGCAGGATAAGCAAGAGTCTCAACCAATTCCTCTTGGAATTTCATAAATATTTTCCTTGTGTAAAGGTTGGCTGCTTGTTTTTCCATAGGAGATGGAGTTTTTAAAGCTGGTGCTGTATTTAATGTATCATAATCCGCCTTTACTTCCTTTTCATATCGACTTGCAACTGCTTTTTCATATTGCTTAATCAGAACCTGGGCATTAGTTGACGCATTTATGTAACCATCAAAATATGAGTTTGCAATATCAATTCCTTGAGTTATGTACGTCTCCCCAAAGAATGTGTCCTGAAGATAAACTGGTACCCAATGCTGTCGAGTGTTGTACATTGACTGAAGCCATTCATTCTCTCCAAGACTGTATTTTAGAAGAAGGGATTCCCAACATGACTCAAACTCATCCACTGTCTCCGTTAAATTGATGCATCTTTGGAAGTCTGCTTCAAAAGAGGGGTGCAAGTGATATACATCAGAAAGTTTCTCCTGAGCTTCCCTAAACACATTCCATTTACAAAATCTGTGGCGGGTCCCTGGGAAAACTTGTGCAACAGCTGCTCTTATGATCCTATCTTGGTCTGTCGTGATTGAAATAGGATGGCGGCCAGACATTGCAGCTAGCCAAGTCTGGAACAACCAAACAAAAGAGGACTCTGACTCATTAAGAAGCAAAGCACATCCAAACAACACAGGCTGTCCATGATGATTCCACCCAGTGAAAGGGGCAAAAGGAACACGGTATCGGTTTGTTCTATATGTCGTATCAAATGTAACAGTGTCCCCAAAATGATTATAATTCATTCTAGAAGGAGCATCAGCCCAGAAGATGTTTCCTGTTGAGTTACCAAAATCACCTTGGACAGCACAAAAGAAGGCAGGATCGTCATTTTGCATTCGCTTCAAGTAGTCAAAAACAACCTGACCCCCACTCCCAAGTTTCCTCTGACGACTACTACTCATATAATTCTGGCAATCAACTTTAGTAAAACCAACATTATTGATTCCACCAGATTCCTTAATCAACACAGACATCACTCCACTTGGGCCCATCCCAGCAGCTTGAAGTGTATCAATGAGGCTGCGAGCAGGACCAGAGACATGCCGGTGTGAACGAAGGCAATGCACTTTATCTGGCGGCACAAGCTCGTGGGTATGCTCTTTAACAAGTTTAGAGACAGCCCATTTTCCAGAAGTCTGCTTCTTGACGGTGATTTGGGCCTTACAACCAACTCTAGTGATGGTACGCTGGCGCTTGGACCTATTCTGACTGGCATCTCTACGGAAGCCCTCGCGGGAGCAGACAATTTGGCGGCATATGATGGAGCCATCACGACGTGAGCGCTGGTAAACGCTAACCCGAGTGCTAAAACCAATGCGGCGAGCATATGAATTGTAGAAAATGCGGGCAGCCTGTTCAGAATCAAATTCCATACCTTCATAGGGCTCGAGATTGGGATCCCCCAGGGTGGAAAGAGTTTGGGCTAAGGCATGATTGTAATGATCAAAAGGAATTGGGTGTTCCAAGTCAAGGGCAGTAGCGTCGTCATCAAACTCATCTATTACAGGACGAATATCCATTTGACTATTGCTCTGGGACTCCTACTAATCATATATCATTATATCTTTTTAGGAGTTAAGAATCATAAGTTTGCAAATGGTTATTGGGTTCCAGGATTGGGTATGGTGTCATATTCGATATTCATTCATAGCATTTAAAAGCTGAAGAATTAGTGGGAAGAAATAAACTGACCCGAGATGAGGATTTTGGAGAGGGCGGATGCTGCTGCTGCTGCTGCTGCACAGAAATCAGAAGCGCAAAGTAGCTTCCGTTGGGGCAGAAAGAAGAGAGGGAATTTTGTGGGTACTTTAGGGGGGGTTTGAGGGTTTTCAATTTTGAGGTGATGTGCAACTGCAACACACATCTTGTCCTCCTCATCTTTAACCATTTCATTTACAAGCTTCACACCACGGATGGGATAACTTTCCACTTTGCTAATTACCATTTACCAATTATTATTCCCAAAATCATATTTGGAATTTCAGTTGAAAAATTACAAAAATAAAAATATTGAGATTAGACATGTGCCTCCGCCTAAACGCCCAGATTAAAATGTGTTCAAAATTTGTCTCCACATTCATTATTTGAAGAAGTAATATATAGTTAATAAAGCACTGAATTTTTTATCTCAGTGATTAACAAATAAAAAAAAAATGATATTGTAGTTGATCAAAATGTATCCAAAACTTGTCGCAACAATGGTAATTTGAAAAAGCAAAATAAAGTCAATCATTATGTAATTTATTAGTAAAGTGCTGAAATCTTCAATCCAATTTTCTCAGGATTCTGAAAACTGTATATATAAAAAAAAAAAAAAAAAGATGTTGCCTCAAAGTTTAATCATTTTAGCGGAAAAACAAATTGAAATGTAATCATATTTATTTACAAAAAAAAAACCATCAGCATAGTAATTTTTTGATTTTGCACACCTCACTCACCTCGTGTTTATTTCTTATAAGTCTCAATAAACTTTCAAATTGAAATGCTTACTGTTTAATTATGGTTATGACTTATTCTAAACCAATCAACCTCAAAATTATAAAATATGACTTAATTTGTTGTTATCATTGTTGTCTTTGAACATGATTTTGGGTTTAAATAATGCAATTATAGTTATATTCGTTCTGACTAAATCAGTAAGCACATATAAAAAAGGTACCTTATGTTCTCTCTTGAATGTCGCTGTCTTACTATTACCCGAACCCTGTCGAACCATGCAAGTAGTAGTAGTTGTTGTAGCAGTAGTTGTAGTAGTGGTAGTAGTATATTCTTATCTTAGATGAAAGAAAAAAAAAAAAAAAAACCCTAAACCGAGAAAAAGGGGAGACTGGAGAGAGATGAAGTACCAATGCAATGCATGTAACATCTCTACAAAAAAAGCATCAGCCAAGATCAAAGATCGTCAGTCGCACCGAGTGATGCTATTGTCCACGTAATAACTTCAATGTCTTTGAGGCCACAATAACAATAAAGCGTGGTTTACCAATACCATGCATCAATCCGTACACAGAACCTCGTCTTCCAAAACACATGCTACAAACGTCAGGGGTAACTCAATCAGTTTATCACTTTTCAGGATAATTAAGAAAAATGTGACCACGGGCACAATAACTGGTATGTTCGCATGCTGTTGTATCAAAGGGTTGTCTGTCCGCCAGATGAAGAGGACATCACAGAGAGAACCTCTGTCACAGACGCCATTACACTTAAAGCTGCTTTCAGAACTTCCTGAGAACACCCTGGCTTCACAATGGTACGGACCTGAAATACATGCACATATGGTGCTACTGTATGAGAAAGCTACTGCCATAGCAACTGCATTTGAAGGTTTGTGAATACCAAAACCAAAAAAAAGACATATTTCATGCACAAATAAACATAAATACCAGTTGAATGCAACATGTAATATGCAACCAAAAGAACAATTCTGCACAACTGAAAGGCAACAGAAAATTACACACCTTGTCAAGATATTCCTGTAGTTTCTTGATGCGGCCCATGTAATCCTGGTCTTCAACACATAAGGTTACAGCCTTAGCATCAGCACCAGGACCATCAAACTGAAGAGGTCCTGGATTTCTGTAGATATCATCCAGCAAAAACCTTGTTGCATTTTGTCTCAGCAGCCTGGAATCATAGCCATACACAAATTAGAATGAATGCCTAAAATCTAGAATCGCCACTGCTTCACTTACAACTTAAGCAATGAATGACACTTACTCATACGCTTTGCCTTTCAAATCCACAGTAGCTGGATGAATAGCAGGTTTTCCAATTGACAAGGCATTGGGATTTTGAGACCAGCGCTTCAGAGTCATCATTGCCTAAGATTTACCAAATGCAATCAAAGTCAAGCCATATAGAGAGCATATGTCAGGAAACAAAATGGGCAGGCTGCCTATAAGAAAGCAAAAAAGTAAAAAAATGAAAAGGTAGATGAGAGGGAAGGATGCTCCCAGCGAGGGAAAGGAAATTGTGATTAAAAGTCGTCGTATTTTGATGTCCATACCATGGATTATTGTAAGCAAATAAAAAACTCAACTGTAATAGGTGCAGCACCACAGCGCCACTTGTTCACTGGATTCTTTAGGTTAGTTACAGTTGCCATGTAACCATTTAAACCAGCTGCAAGAATATGATAGCAGATATGTCCAAGAACCTGTGAATATGTAATAGTATTAATAAAAGGAGAAAATTAACAAAGGCAAAGGAGACATAACAATGCTTTGATGGTAGCATACATAGGCATAGTCACAGTCAAATTTTGATGGTAAGGATCCACGAGCCTGATAGCCGAAGAAGTGGCAGATAGCATTAAATTTCTTCCCCTTGTAAGTGCCTGCTTTCTGCTCACAACAGGAGGGAAATCAGTGAGTAAAGAATCATAATTTGGAACCCAATAAGGATAGACAGTTAACTAAAAATGATTCAATGGAATATTATTACAACATTCCGGAAAATGTTGGGAGACAGGCAGAAGAACTTGTTACTTGGAAAGTGCTCTTTTGGGGAAGAGTTATGGTTTTCTTTTTTGTGCCACTCATTTAATGTTTTGAAAAGTTTAGCTTAGAGTCAACAAGAAAGAAAAAAAAGACATGGTTGTAAAACAAAAAGGGGAATACTATCGCCTACCAGGCGCTTATTCATTTCATTCTCTACAAGGTGTGCCAGAAGTTTCTCTGTCTCAATCTGGAAGAGTAGACAGAACCGATATCAGTTATTTGAAAGATCTGATAGATTCTTCTCGTATAGAAAGTAAGTATATCTCAAGCTAGTGACCTGTGACAACTGTGCAGAATCATCTGATTCAGGATGGAGGAGAAGCTGTGACATTACCATGGCATCATCACTCATTAAGCTCATTAAATGGTATAGATTTATCTTTAATCATTAAGAATTAAAGGAAATTAGAACCAGCACCTGTTTCCTTATAAAAGGTGGCAAAAATTCAAACAATGCAGCTGTCCAAGGTGAGAGTTGAGATGAAATTTTTTCGGCAGAAACACCTTGCCTGAGCAAACCATGAATTTCCTGAAGTAAAAATCATCAACTTAACCACAGGTTAATGTCAAATTGAAGCTTCAAATAAGAAGAAGCCTCTACCCTTGAGAACGAGAGGGATGTGAAGGGAATTAGAGAAGAGTCACTGTTAAACATTAGCTACCTTCAACAGCGCATACACTTCAGGAATGCTCTCTATAAGCCCTTCAGGCAGAAGGATGACCCCATGGTTCTTGTCTGGTCCAATTACACAAGGTCAGAAAACAACAATGACAACGAAGCTCTTTCTAACATGAAATTAAAAAGCAACTTGAAATATTGACCTTGCTCTGCTCGGACTTGAACTGCATCACAAATTTGCTTTGTTATGTCAAAAAGAGTAAGCTTTGATGCAGCCACCTCTTCACCAAGAATTACCTATTAAAAATATATCAAATGTTAAGAAATGAAAAATAGACATCTTTATGGTAGCTATATGTAATTATAGAACTAGCAAGCAAAAAATTGACCATATTTGGATGAGATTGGAGGGTGCATTCCAGGGCAACATGTGATGCCTTCCTTCCCATAAGACGGATAAAGTAATAATACTGAAAAAGAAAATAAGCCAGTGTAAGGCAATAGAAAGCTATAACCAAACTAGTCTACAGCTCTTACTGGCTTCTTTCAAAACTTTGAATGACCGGATGCCAACATAGATTCCAGGAGATACCATCTTAGGATGCAAACAACTTACCTTCTCTGCCGAGAGAGCATCAGTGCAGACATTGCTGATGAGCTGGGAATTAACCTGCATGTAATGCGAAGAGAATGAGTACAAAACACCATACTAGAATACCAGGGAGTCCATCTGACATGCCATAATATAAAAGAAATAGCAAGACATAAAATAACCCAATGTCAAAGGCAATAGTGCTCTATGCTCAAGTCAACCATTCCCCAATGTGCTTATTGTTTTTTCTCCTTAAATTTTCTTTAACTCCTACTGCAGTGTAAACTCCTAAACATTTAAGATTAATACCTTGCATATTGTATCAAAACCAACATTAGTTTCCACAAATTGATTCTTGAGGTCTCCGTTCAGTGTAACAGGAACACCAACCACCTGCAAACATTAGACACAATTCAAGGTACTGTGGCAAACCACCAATTATAACAGAGACAGAAGCACCTAAATAACTGTTATGGTACAGAGAATCTTGTCAAGCAGGTTACCTTTGTTAGACATTTAGATTCAGCAAATGTTTCAGCAAGTTGAGCAGCATCTGTGTTTGAAGTTACACCTACAAACCAAGTAGAACTCTTACTTAGTAACTTCTAATTATTTACAATAACATGTTTACAAAATCTTGAAAATTAAATTCACCTCCAACAATGACAAGGCCATCCAACTTCAAATCATTGCATGCAGTTAGTGCAGCATTAACTTGCTCAGTTGTTCTAATTTGATCTTGTGTTCGTCCCAGAAGATCATAACCACCTTGTCAAGCAAACACATTTTACAGTTTGTTAGATTACAGAGCCATATGAAATCAAAGATTTTTTAGATAACATTGCTTCATGAAAGCACCTACCTTGATTTTTGTAGGTTGAAAGAACATCATCAGTAATCTCTAGAGTTTTCTGTGCAAATAAACCTTGAGTACCACCTGTTAGCAGAAGCAGAAAAAGAATCAATTGTCACATAGAGAAAAGAAAGCAAAAACATACACTGGTATTGTAATGGAGTAATAGAAAAAGTAAAAACAAACTATGCACATCATAACATGTGGAATATATAAGGAGAGTAGCCATAATATATACTAGAAAGAGTTTTCTAGAACAGATACATTTACATCAAGGGAACGCACTATTTATTTATGGACATGTACGTATCTACGGTGTATATATAATTATGTATGTGTTGCGAGTGTGTGCACTTGTATGCTTATTGTCGCACTGGTTGTATAACATCTTTTAAACTAAGAATGCAGCTTACCCAAAAAGCCGAGCAAAGTGCTGTTAGGGTTGTGGATTTTGAGAGCTTTGTGGAGGCCCCATATGACATTATGCCCACCAGGGGATTGTCTCCCACAAAAGACAAGTCCTACCCTGTTATTTAAGAAGGTTAGGGTCATTAGACAAATAAGAAAAAAAAAATTTTTTTATACATATGGCATACATCCATGAATCAAGGCCAATAATTCCACAGAAAGTGCTAAGGACGAAGAAAATGATGCAACAAGCAAAGGCAATTGCTTTAAAAATGACCCTTAAAAGTGGAAGGGAAAAAAATCATGAAGTGTGATATAAATAAGCACCTAATAG